ACCATTAAACACACCAATTACTTTATTCTACACGAGCTGTATTGCAGGGGCATTGCCTCTTGGCATTATTATTACATTAGATGAACTGGAAATAACCCTTGAAAAGGGAATAATTATGCTAAAGTCACTTCTTTCACAATATGCGTTTTTCGGCCGTTGGCCTGATATTGGTCCAATAGCTTTTCTTACAGATGATTCAAATTCTGAACGTAATGCGTTAGGGCATTGCTAGCCAAATTCAACTCGACTATTATGTGTGTTCCATGTTCTTCAAGCCTTTTGGTGTTGGTTACATAACTCAAAACATAATATAAATAAAGATCATAAAATGCCTATAATGAATATCATGAAAAAGATATTATATTCACACACTGAAGTCGAAATGTTGAAATATTATAATGAACTAAAAACTTACTATAATACCTATTTACAATTACAAAGACACTTTGAACGACTTTGGAACCGATGACGATTCTGGGCAGTATTTTTTCGCTTTGAACTTCTCTTGCGGGGTAATAATACCAATAATTATATAGAGCGTAGTTTCAGATTGTTAAAAGATATTATCTTCTCACGTACCCAAGCATATAACAGTGTTCAAGTGTTTAAATTTATAGTTACAAGTATGGAGCACTATTACGAACATCGACTACTTGGAATAGCCCACTCACATTCCGGCCATATTAGAATTGCTAGAAGATTTTTATGTCCTGGTTGGGATGCAATCGATGCAATGGAAATTCAACCAACTAAAATAAATACAGAGTACTTAGTTCCAAGTCAAAAAAAAGGAACTGAATTCTTTTATATTGTTAATACAGAATTCTGTACATGTACATGCTTCGTTGGGCTTTCTGGGGCACCATGTAAACATCAGAGTGCGGTGGCTACAAAATATAATATAGAATTTATAAACTTTTTTCTATCTTTATCACCCAATGATCGTGCTTGTTTTGCGTATATTGCATGTGGTAAGTGTAATAATTAATTTAATTTAATTTAGAAATATTTTTGGATTAATATTTTATTATAAATATTATAATTAAGGAATCATGGCGAATAGTTCTTTTTACGCATCGTTACATGCTCACAAGAATAATAACTATGAAGAATTAAATACAAATGAAATGTTAGTAACTAATATGAATATAAATCAAATTGAAACTGATGCGGATATGGATGTGAATATGAATATGAATTTAGATACAAATGCGGATGTAGATGCGAATATGGACGTAACAACTGATGCGTAGGTTTTTTTTTTTTGAGTTTTATACAATTTTTAGATTTGTGATTAGAGAATTATCTAAATAAAATTTTTTTAATAAAGGTATAATCATGAAAATTTGAATATGAATGTGGATGTGGCTACGGATATAAATGGGTATGCAATAGATACAAATACGAATGCAAATACGAATATGAATACAGCAAATGATATTTAGGTTTTTTTTTGGAGTTTATACAAGTATCTTAGACTTGTGATTAGAGAATTATCTATATAACTCTTTTTTTTATTTAATAAAGGTATGATTATGCGAATATGGATGTGAATACAAGTGTGAATATAGATACGAGTGCAGATGTAAATATGAATCTAGATACGAATATAGATGTGAATGTGAATATAGATGCAAATGTGAATGCGGATATAGGTGCAAATGCAGCAACTGATATGTAGGTTTTTTTCTTATGAGTTTTTTAAAGTATTTTTAGATTTGTGATAAAAGAATTGTCTATAACTCTTTTTTTTATTTAATAAAGATATAATCCGGAGTTCTTTGATACATTTCTTAAAACGATGAAAGATGATTATAAATATTGTAGACCACAACTTCAAGCAGCCCTTGAGAAGTTGGCCGAGAGATACAATGCAGCAAAAACTAAGTCTATCCCAGCATTAATATCCTTTCTCTATAATGTGAATCATAATTCGGACCCACTTGTACGTGTAAAGAGTGGTGCAAAAATTCATGTACAGGTTGAATCAGTCAAGTGTAGAAAAACCAAGTCGGGTGTTAATAAGTCTGGTAGTAAAGAAAACTGTGATCTACACGTTATTCCAGCACGCAAAGTTAGGGCAATTGGTAAAAAAAAGCATGATCTTAGCGAAACATTAACGAAAATAATTTGAATTAATGACATGTTGTGTTGAAAGTATCAAATGAAATTTTTATATAATAACGATCACAAGGTAAATGCAATTTGCTGATTAATTTTAGACCAAAATGAATATATAAATTACTTATGTATAATGATCTTAATTAAAGACAAAATTTATATTCAAACACTAAAATAAATATTTGAAAATAGCATATTTCGTACAGTCTACAATAAAATTCTAAAGGACATAGTTTATTCTTAAGTTTACTACAACTAAGCGTGAATCATAATCTTCTTATATAGATGGTGATGAATTATTGTACGCTTCAATGAGCATACAATATCCTTTTGTAATTAATAATGATCTCTTAAAATTTAAAATAATTTGAGCATTTTTAAT